GACTTGTTCGATTATGTTATCAACTCAATTTCATATTTATTTTCACATTTTCACTTCGCGGTCCTTCTCTGTTCTTTTTCCGTTATTTACACGTGTAGGTCATTTCATTGTTATCCACATTTGACATCATCATTTATCACATACTGCCATGACGCTGATGTCTGTCCACTACAACTGTCAATAATTAACGCGATTGGCAAAGTGTAGTGAAAGCGGGCCAATAGAGAGCGGGGTCCTTGCCATAATGCGGTTTGCGCGCCAATTTTCGTACGTGCGTTAATCGAGCCGAATAGTTTGGCCGAATATTCGGCTATTCGGCCACGCTCCTGGCCGAATATTCGGTATTCGGTTTGAGGCCGAATATACTATTCGTTGCAACACTAGTAAATACACAACGTTTACAATAGCATTTAAATTGTATTCGGTACTGTAAGGTCTAGAGATGATTTTAAGTATAGGGAAGGGTGTGTGCAGATTACGTCGTTTTGCATACAAAACACTATAATTACTAAGTAATAATGTAAAAAAAAATTTTAAATTAAAAACAATTTGTGTAATACACGACACCGTATATCTAACCAACGTTTATAAGATTCGTATCTAATTATAAGACAAGAATTTCAGAAGAATTAAAATCTAACTTGATGCTATGTTCAGATAGTTAAAGGATTTTAAGTTAAATAATGTATTTTACATTCCTTATATACATTACAATTAAGTTTTGTAAGCTTAAAAGAAGATTTCAATGCAGGTTATGGAATATTTTACACAGATCTACTGAATGAAGTGTGTATTTTAAATATTTAAAGATGATTATTACATTATCCTTTCGAATCCTATAACTTGTAAAGTTATAAGATTATAATTAGATAGTGTTAATCTTTAACTATACAACATTAAAGTTACTATACCGAAGTAATCATGAAACAAATTATTTTGTTGGATAGAACATAGTTTGCCTCCTATTAAAATTCTTGTTCTACTAGTGGTAGCCTACTTGAATGATTTTTTGTGAGTGTTTAAAGAATTTGCTATTTACATATAGTTCTAAGAGTAGGACTGATGACAAAGAATAGCATTAAGATTATAATGATTTTGTCTATTTCAGTTATATTACGGTCTATCTCCCCTTAATCTCTAACATTTAGACTAATGATTTCTACGGTTTCTTAAACAGATCGCAAATTAGAAAACGAAAACATCAGTAATACGAGTAGGCTGTTGTTAAAAGTCATTCAAATGGTACTAATTTGCTTCCAGTTCATTTGATTTATAGCGATCTTTGGTCATTCTCTTTTTTTAAAAAAATATGTGAATATAATAGTATTAGTAGAAGCAGCAACAAAAGCCTGTAACATTAATCTATTAGACCTGAAAAATCATTTTCATTATTAATTTTTGAAAATTTTTTCTGACATTAGGCTAATAGATGATGTACTTTGTATCTTGATGCATCAAATTTCCTGAATTATGTTGATAGGATGACCACGTGATAAAATATTGTCTTGTCATGGTGAGAGATTCGGATTAATTCCCGTTATATAGGGCCTATAATTTTCTTTAATACATTTTAATATGAATAACCATTAAAATGTTAATTTTTATGAAAATCTTTATAACATACTGTAAAACTATTTTATACACATTTTTATTACTATTTAAAATGTTCATATTATTGTAGACCCAAATAAATAACTCTTTACTTCTATTGCTCTTTTTAGGGCCTCGAAAAATAAATTTTGCCTGGGTCCTGGCAAATCCTACTGCCGCATATGATAAAATATGTAGGCTTAACACTATAATCTAAATATAGGAGGTAGACATATCAACTGTTATCAATAAAAATGCAAGACAAATATTAGCTTATCTACTCTATTATAACGTTTAAAAAATATTCAAATTATTAAATTTTAAATTGTTTAAACAATTGTCAAAGCCACTTTTCGTATGTATTATTCTGTAATAAAATAATAGCTGCTTGAAAGGTGATCTCAGACTATTTTAAACATTTAACATGAATTATAAAAACATTTTTTATTTGTTTTATTTTTAGATAAGAAACACATTTGATCTTAATTTATCAATTATAAAGCAAAATAGTAACAATTTTAAATAGGAAATTCTATATTCTGATGTCATGTCTCTGTTTAAATGTGACACTTTTTTTAACGAATTAACGTGTAAAAATATATAAGAAATGAAAATAAGAATAGAAAATTATAAGGAAATAATAGAATTTTTAAGTAAAAGTATTTTGAAGTAATACGTGATAAATATTTAATTAGGATATTCAATTTAATTTTTAAGAGTCGATTTATAAAATAATTTATGTATTAAAGTTATACTTTATTAAACAACAATATGGACGTCCACAGAGGAGGGTAAACAGGGCACTTGACTTTCTCTTGGATCCAGTAAAAACTTCCAGATATCTGATTGAGATATGTAACCTTACACCCTCGACTATGGAGCACTGTCTACCTTTCTGTATTGATACAATACCGTATTCTATAATCTCCTTGTGGAAAAAAATCTAAATAATTAAATAAAAATTTGTTGATGTAATAACTTGTCTCTAAGTTTTGTCCTCTTAGAAAATTTTCTGCTTCTGAGCCCATGGACTGTAGTATACAGCTAAACTATTCTAACATAATATATAATGCCAATTATATTAATTACATCAAAAAAGTCAATATTATACCAGCCAAGCTTATCTATAATAGCATTCCAATAACTGGTTAAATCTAAGTAGGTTACAGTCAAACCTCTGAACAACGGCTCCTGATGGAAACACAAGAAATGGCCGTTGTTTGGAGGTTATTTTGTATGCATTCCAAAGGCAAAGGTTACATTTTTAAATACAGTATGTACAGCCTATAATATAGACTATAAATACTGTACAGTATTATATTATAATATAATATAGTATAATACTGTGAGTGTGTGTGTACTTCCCATATTCAAACAATAGTATAATAATAACGTATTGTACATCTATATATAATACAAAATAATAAATTATACTTACTTAAAAACAGCATAGTGGAAATCTTAATATTTTTAGAGACTCTCATTATGTATTCACGAGAATAGAGACTAAAAGTTCCTTTAGTTTGATGGCTCCCACAGTTAAATTACTCAATATATTATCACGTTATTTGGTTATATTATCATATGCTTTAGTCCATTCACGTGATTATTATGACAGATAAGAAATAGTTTCATTTTTAAAATTTACCTGATTATTTTTTAAAGCAAAAATTTGATATTTTCTAACACTGAAATGAAAACATTAATACAGTTTTTCTATAGATTAAGGCTTTAAATGGTGTTTATAATGCGAATTTTCTTTGATTTTATAGTTTAAATGTACATAAAAAGTTTATAAAATTGAAAAATTTACATTAAATCTACTAAATGTTAACAATAAAATCGAAAAAATCTTATAAAATCTGTATAAATTTATACATCTAAACGTAATGTATGATCTATTTTATCTATGGATATGATATTAATATATTTATGATTATTAATAAAATAATTTTAAATATTTATAAACTTTTTGAAAACATTAATTTAAAATTTATACGGCTTTTATTTCATTGTGAATTAGTTACGACGCGACGCGAACTAAAGGAAAGGAAAGGGGGGAGAAAAATGTTAATGACTTCCGTTTCCGGTGCTAAATCATTTCGAAAATCAATACACCTAACACGAATATGATTAAATTTTGATATGAAAATTGTTTTAATTTAATACTCGATTTTTTAATTATTGTATACACAATAGAGAGCACTGGACTCGTATACAAATAAACTAATTTATTTACAGACAGACAGATAGACAGATAGCTAAATCTATTCAGACGTATTAATAAAAATCTTATATTGATTTTTTAAGATGAAAGTAATGACTTTATATCATACAATTGTATCAGAAGAGTGAATTTTAATTGAATATTTTTTTAATTTATAAAATTATCAGAAATGATTCATAGGCGCATGATTATTTATTATTTTAAAAAAATATTTTGTAATGTCATGTATGTAAAGGGTCTTTATCTGAAAAGATAATAAATTTTCAATAAAAATTATATCAAAGTTTGTGATAATAAAGCAATAAAACATAATTGGATCTTGTGAAGATGCCATTTTATTTTGTTGTATAATATCCGATAGGTTCTATATAAAGTTAAGGCCTATAATAGGACATGTATTTAAACAGCGAAACAAAAAGTACAAAATTCATTTTAAAAATTATAAAATTTATAATAATATATAAATTATAATGAGGTAAAGAAACTAAGAATTGTAGTATTATTGTTTCTGTGATATCACCTTGTATTGATAAATAAAGAATATAAAAGTATAATAAAAAGTCCAAAATCTCTATAGTCAGAGACTAATATATATTTAATTAATATTTTAAGCATAAAAATTTCAAATTAACATTAAGAGAATTAAATATTTTCAACAGTTTTAATATGATAAGAGGTGAGATGAGGTCAGGAGCAATCATAAATGAGAGGTTTAGATTTTTCTGAAAGGCAAAATTTATATATTTTTTTTTAGCTTTTAGAAATATAAAATATATGAATTTTTTTACTAATTACCAAAATAAAATTTATTTATTTATTTATTTACTTATTAATAAAAGGCGACCTTTTGATGTATTCTAGTTTTGGGCTTTAATTTAAATGATTTTAATGGCTTTCCTTTACCTAGGATAGCTTAATTATATTAATTGTATTTAATTTTAAACTATTTTATCTTATTATCTTTAAATTAAATTTGGAATTATTTAAATTATTATTTATTCAATTTTAATAATATTTACCAATAGTAAGAATCTCACCCACTAGATGGCACTACGTGATATTGATAGTCGACTCGCACGTGAAATTTAGCACTCGTTCTATATCATATAAAAATCCATTTGGCTGGCTGTCTGTTTGTTTGCTTGTTACAACGATAAACATATTACATATAACTCCAATCGGTTGCATATTTTTAAAGTTTATTAACCTGTAAATAAAAACGATATAATAATAATAATAATAATAATAATAATAATTCGAAATTAAACTTTAAAAAAAAAAAAATGCAAAATTTAATAATTACTTTAAAAATTTAATATCAGTAGAGTTTAACGTATAAATTTATTATTTATTTATTTTTTTATATAATTATTTCGCTTTTAATTCTTAAACAGGCAAGAAAAGGTCGATTATTAAATCCTTTGTGATCCTTTGTAAAGCTTAAATCCTTTGTAATTTTCCATATGGTTAACGTGTGTAGAATATCGATTTATGTTATTAATCAATTCTAAACTGTAGTTGTATATCTCAATGGAGCATAAACAATTAATAGATACTCTTTATCGAGATATATATATATGTATATATGTACGATATTTTGTTACATATGATAACATAATAATTCATCGGGTTCGTGATAGATAGTAATTTGTAGTAGGTTGGTTATTTTTAATAAAAATAATTTTATAGATATCCAATTCTGACTTTCTATATGATTACTATGTATATATTTATTTTAAATAATGGCGATAACATTTTTGACATTGAAAATCGAATTAATTTATATATTTTTTTTTAAAGGCAATTTCTGTTCTTAAAATAGAGAACGATCGATTATTGTTTTTAAAATAACGTATAAAAATTCAATTAATTATACTATAAAAAAAATAGCTTTTACGTCTTATAAGCTGTGTAAATTAGCCAATTAATTTAAAATTTATACGTTAATATTGTTAAAAAGCATTTTAATTACGTTTATTAGTTTCGGGTATAAAAGTGAAGGTATTTTTTTCTGGTTATTTTCTCTATTTTAATGCTACATTTTAACATTTTAATCATTCGTAGATCTGTATTATAGACATTATCATGTTTTATATTGAGGAAAAATAATTTTTTCCTTAATTTTCTATTAATTTTTTGATGATTATCCCGTATAATTTGAACGATTCGTGTGATACTACTATTCGATATATGTAGTTAGATACATATTTAAATTTTACAAAAGCCAACGGAGCTTTTTATCCTATCTGTAACGGTTTAAAGAGATATGCTCCACCCCACCTTCCATACCTAATTAATACGCTGTGTACAGCTGAAACGGCTAAAGGGGAGGATAGACTGAACGCATCCTGACACAGCTAATGTCCTTACTAAGGAGTAGAAAATTCAATTTTCTGTCATGACAAAGAGTATGTTTAATATAGGTTGACGTACCTCACTTACTACCCTAGTGGCAAAATAGAGAAATGAGACATCGGCTACTTTGCTATTTGCTCTTTGCACTCTTGCCTTCTATTCCCCTTGTCACGGATAATTTCTATCTAGAATAGTCAAAGTGTCATAGTTCATTAATAGTTTCTTTCCACACTATTGGCGAATGCATACACTCAAAATTGATGATGAATGCTACATCATAAAACACACGTTTCCTACTTTTAAGCTCGTTCTCTTCTTAATATCTCAACTTCATCTCCGGCATCACACTGGAACAGATGGGATTCTATACGAATTTATACAGTATTTAAACACAGGAAAACACTTTAATTTTTAACAATAATTAATAATTGTTGCAGTAAACTAAGCGATATTCCTGAAAATAATAGCAGGAAATAACATTTGGACTTCTAACAGGAAACTATCATCAAAATTGACAAGAGCTAATTTTTTTATTTACTAAAAACGGAAGATCGTAAATTATATTTTCGACCAGGTATAGAACGAAACGATGATGATGACGATGATAATAATAATAATAAATATATTTTCTTACTTCTTTTTTTTTTAGATTGAGAAGATTGTAAATATGATAATTATATTAGGCAATGGGCAATTTGTAAGAAATTAGAGATTTAAAGTAAAAATCAAAGAGAGAAATCAAACGATTCGTGTGTTTAGCCAGTGTTGGGTAGTTCAGTAATGATATTTATATGTCTCCTGCGAAGCAACGATAATCAAATTTTCTTTCTGACTGCAGCGACCATTACTGTCCTGCTCTGAAGAGAGAGAAGAGAGAGGGCATAGTTATAACAGTAGCTATGTTTACAACTGCCCGTACTTCTATAATCGGACCACCAGTTCCTTGTCCTTGCTTCGACTATACTTAAATTATTCAGATTGTGTTAAATTTTAATAGGTTTAAATGTAGTTCGTGATTAAATACGGGGAAAGGTGTATTGTCCTTTAGCTTGTTTTAAAATTAGATTTTGAAAATTTTTTTCTCCGCTACCGTTTCCCCCTAGAGAGCTAAGGATGGGACATATTTTTGTCTCGTGCATATTTAGAGCCGATTTAAAATCACCAATAACTTTGAATTAGTTGGGAGATTTGAAGTTTTGCTGCTAGTTACCAATTCCTACCAATAGTAATGACACACGATAGAGTAATTAATGTCAAACGGATGCAGTCTTATGTGAGTTAAATGTGAACTGCACTGGTAAGTTGGTCGAGTAGAGTAAGTTATATAAATGATTTTTAGCTGGATGTATATGTATATTTTTATGAGGATAATTATATAAATTATCTCGCTGCTCTGAACTGTTTCGGGGTGGAAGGATGATGAGGAGTCTCGTGTAATATCTGTATGATAATCACGTTACTTTGAAAATTATCGTGTGATTTTAAAAAATTGGGTTTACTGACTGCAAATATGATTCTTACTTGTTAGACTTCAAAGATAGGAGAATAAATAAATTTTTTCAATGATAATTATGTAAAAGCAACTATTCATTCGCACAATGCTAGTTCCTTAAGAAGCTGATATTTTCTAGCTTTAAGTAAGTAGATAAGTCCAAATTTTTAACAATAATCAAAGAATTATCATTCTATATAAGTTTATCCGTTACGTTTTAGTCATGGTTCTATCAGTTATCAATCTTTAAAACTCATCCTTTACTTAATTAAAACAAGCCTAGTGTAAAGATTTAAACATATTTTAGAACTGGAAATGTAGTAAATTAACTAAACTTTTTAATTAAATTTGTATCTAAATTGCTATATTGTCTGTTATATTTAATGTTTGATTCTTTTCTGCTTTAGCGATTTAACTTTCTTTACTTTTCAGCGCACTTGGTTGAATATCCTGTATTTAATTTCCGTCCCAGTCAATAAAAGAAACAGTTCTTGTC